TGAGACTTTTCTTGAGTACCTGAAGAAGTTGGTTTGGGACAGCAGAATTAAAAAAACCAACCAACCAAACAGCATTGGATTTTCAAATGTCACTTTCCAGCAAGCAGCACCCCTACCCTTTCACAGATGCAAGCCCTGCCATTTGAGGTAGGACAAGCTCTTGTCAAACACAGTGACAAGACGCCCATCATTCTCTACAAATACATTCACAGGGAGTCTCACCCTAGTACCTACAACCTCTGGAGCATCCTCCATGCACCAAAGCAGAAGCTGCTTTTAGCAGCCCCAGGAAAACCACTCTCACCATGCTGCCAGCACCAAGGAGGAGTGGGGAATGTCACATCAATGGAGGCAATGTGGGCCAGCGACCTCAGCTCTGGAGCCTGTGCCTCAGCTCTGCAGTTACGCACTCTTAATAGCTTCAGCTTAACCACCTTTGTGCTACAGCTGAAGGCAAAGCACCCTTGCTAGAATGAAGTACTGATGGGCAGCAAAGGCATCAGCAATCCTACCAGCTTAACGGGCACTCCTACCAGAAAAGGCAGCACTGAAAGGACCTTCCAGGCCACGGGCCATGAATAATCTAAGGCAAGAAAGGAACAAGTGGGGAATGTTGAAAGTTACATAAAATTTTGATAGAGAGATGACAGTTCAGGTTAATTCAATACACAGTAATGCTGTCAGGAGATGAGAATGGGTTACTCCCAGTTAATACTGCAGATCCAGACTTGTCAGCAGTGGCTGCAAGACACCAGCAGCTGTCAACTCTTCATCCCAGGGCAATTAGCTAATTAGTGACTCTGCTCGGTTGATCGGGAACTGCCTCTGTGCAAGACAAGCCCTGGCTCCACTGCAGCCCCACCAGCCCAGAAGCCATTGTCATTCTTGTCGTGGTTCAGGCCCAGAACATAACTGAGCACCGTGATGCCCCAAAAAAGGGCTACTCAAAATAAGAACTGGGAGGGCTTCTCACCACTTAAACAGGTCACAGGCAAAAGACAGACTCATCATAAGGAATAAAAACAAAACTATTTTAATTTGTTACCAACATCGGAGTAGAACAACGGGAGATACAACCAGATCTTAAAAATCAAAACACGTTCTCCCCACCCTTCCCTTCTTCCCGGGCTCAGCTTTTGTTCCCGGTTCCTTCACCTTCCCCCTCCCTGTTTGCCTTGAGACGCAGGGGGATGGGAGGTCAGGGCCGGTGCCAGAGAGAGAGAGGAAATGCCCTGCACCCCCCTTAAATACCTGAATTCGCAGGGGCAGTGATTGGCTTGGCCCTGGTCAGAGGTGGGTCCGACAAAGGAAAAGGGGGAGCTTTTCAGGTAGCTTCTTAAAGGGCCACCTCCATAGCCCTTCCCCCGTTACCAAAGATGCAACCAAAAACCCCTCACAGAAAACCCAATACAGGTTAATAACAAACCCTCAATAACAAACCCAAGGAACTCCACTTGGGCACTGGATGCAGGGATGGGACAGCGGGATTCACTGCCTGCTCGCAGCACCAGGTGAAGCCTCCTGCAGCACCACAGGCTCAGTTTTGGCTCTCAGCCCTCTGATCCCTGAAGTTTTCCTGCCAGACTGTGAACAAGTACTAAACCAGCATTAAAAAAGCTCAGCAGCATCTCTCTAACTGAACACATGGATCTTCTGTAATTCAGCAACAGAAAGTTCACCTCTGCCATATCCATTCTCCTCATAGCACATCTTTGTTATTTCTCCAGCTCAGTCAAGGATACAGAACTGCTGACAGCAAGGCAGTCAGCTGCCACTGCTGCTATCACTGGAAAGAGAAAGCAGATTCAATCCTAGATTGCTATCAGCATAACACAGCAAGATTTGATATGCAGCCCCATCCATCTTGGCTCCTGATAGACAGCACATGCACGTGTGCCACTGATAAAGCCCAAATGCCCATGAACTTTATCTTCATTTTTGCAGACTCTAGCTCTCGCAGGCAGCAGATGCGAGCTGGTGCAATGGATGTCCTGCCATTCAAAAGGCACTGACTGATGATGCCAGATACTCAATGCAAGGAGAAAGGACCAACTCCAAAATGGCTTTAAGCAGGCGAGAGACAGACTCAAGTACAAATGCGCAGACTGCCTAGAACAAGATGTGTCACAGTGTCATTTTCAGGGACTGGTGAGCTAGATCTTATTAGAGTGACATATCGCCCTCCTTGCTCACTGAGAGCCAGTGTATCAAAATGATCAACAGAAACTTAGCAGCTGCTACTAAGTACGACTGTTTCTCACCACAGGGTTATTTTATCTCCCACAGGACCAAACGCCTCAACAGAAAGTCCTTTCTAACTCTCAGAAGCCCTGCCCCTGCCTCCTGGTTCTATTCAGTCTTCTCTGCCCACCTGCAAGACTCTGCAAATTGCTTACAGCAAACTTGCTGAGCAAATGCATGTAACAGATCTACTCTCCATTTCTCTTCTGAGCTCCCTGAAGCATCTCAGTCCACTGTATAGCCTGGATTTGGACTATCAGTGCCCTCTCACAGCCATGAACACAACAGCCCTGCAACAACCACTTGGCAGCAACTGGCTGGTCACATGCAGGACACCAGACCTGAGCTGCACGTTCGCCTTGCCATCACATATCTAACAGTTCTTCCTCATTCAGTGGCCAGCCTCAAACTTTATCCTATGAACAAGGACACATCTTCCTGGTCCTTTTGCTGTTCCTTACAGGACATAAATACTGTCCCTACACGCTGGGAAGACAAAGCACGGCTCTCGAGAGCACCGCTGTGAGGGCAAGCGCCCACCTCTGAACATGGACAGCTCTCCCCTGGGCTCCCTTCCCCCTCCTACCACAGTGATTCTCCATTAATATGGATGATGCTTTACAATGAGCGCGAGTCTGTTAATCATCTGGGCTGCACTGGAGCTGGGCTTTAAATAGTTATATCAAAGCGACCATTAAAAATGCAGCAGTGCATAAAGAATTGCCACAGGAGCAGGAAAATGAAGGGCTCTGCACCTGCATTTCAGACTAAGCATTTCCTACCCCAGGGCAGGAACTATTGCTCCCCAGGATCCAGATGCTGTGGAAGAGGATAAAGTATTTTGAATCTGCTTGCAGATGGGAATGTGCTAGTCACACTTGACTGCAGTTACTTTGAAACAGATTTCAGACACTCCTGGCGCAGTCCAAGTACTGCAGGATGGGAGAGCTGGCACACAAGTCACGTCTGCTTCCAAGAACTGGCTCCACTCCCTCCCCATCTCCATTATTAAAGCATACAGCTGCCATCAGAGAAGGTGCAAACTCTGCAGTGCACCTTCTGCAGATATCCTCCCATTGGCTGGTGACACCATGACCCATCTCACAGCTAACACGACTTGTAAAACTTTGGCTGATTTGCTCATGCACAGCACCTGTCTTCTCAGATGTGCAAGGGGAAAACACCCACTTTTCAGGAGGGAAACACTAAACCACACAGATGTTAAGCTCTAGGTCACTCAGACCCACACTGGTAAAAGTCTAAACTCAGGAGATTTCAGTCCCTTATGACACAGGGTGGGACCACAGTGGGATTTAGGCATCACAGCTCAGAACACCACAGTGTCCAAGAACAACATATTGTCACAGTGACACTGGCAGAGCCACATTCAGCAATATGTTCCCCATCAACTTGGGGAAGAAGAGTTGGACAGGCACTACTCCTAAGGCCATGGCTGCTCTCTCTGCCCTGCTTCAGTGCCCTGGCACAGCAACAGAGGTGAATTCACTGGGTGAGCAACTGGATAGAAATGATGAGGTAAGGAAAACTTGGAGGTTTTTCCTCCACAAATAGCAAATAAAAATCTCAGGAAACACACAGCCTGGACCTGGGGGATAATTCAAGTGTCAGTCCGTGTTTTTTCCCCAAACCAGCTGCGAGCCCTGCAGAGATTATGTTCCCTCTCCAGTACACCAAAACAGCCCATTCCCTACTTAATATCCTTCCCCAGCCAGCAGCATTTCACAAAACATTTTAGCTTCAAGAACCACCTATTTACAACACCGCCACCATGCCTGGCTTTCAAAGAAAGCCCTGCTGAAGCCTCAGTTCGACCTGCTCACTCCTCTCTCATACGCACTGGACAGCATGGTCCAAGCAGCCCCTCTCCGCTCCCTGTGGCAGCACATCACAGCAGGCATGCCAGTGGGGAAGAAAGGCTGGAAAGAAAAGCTGCAGATGCCTCCTTGGCCTTCCGTGGGACAGCAGAAGGGGACAGGTTTTTCCACCCAGCACAACACAGGGAATTGCAACCAGCAGCCGCTTCCATCAATACACTGACCATTAACAGCATGTTATACCTCTGGGACAGATCTGAACCCAGGTCTGGTATCAGATGCAAGACAGATGAGCAGGAAGGACCACGGCCGCCCAGAGACATTCCTCTGAAGGAGAGGGGGTCACAGCCCTCTGTCACTACTGCCGTTACAAATGCTTTAAAGCAAAGGAAAATCCTGACAAGAGTAGGAAACACTCGTGCTTTTAAGCTGTTTATAAAATTAAATTATGCTCTCAATAATGGCAAAACACAATAGGAGATGTGTAATCTCCAGAAGTTAAAACCATAAAATACCAGCAGCAAAGCTGCCATGACTGATAAACTCCCCAAGGGCACATACAGCAGGGGCCTGAGAGCAAAGCCATTTGGCCACAGCTCTCTCTCTGAGCAACCCAGCAGGCCGCCTGTGTGCTACCACTACACAACAGGGTCCTGGCCCCTCCACAGGGCAATCCCAGGAAGGTGAGGGCTGAAGGAACCAATGTCAGGATCAGGGCTACACCCAGCAGAGGTCTGGGGGATAGATCCAGAAGTGTTCAAGCCATTCCAAGCTAATATGATCCTCAGTTTCAGGGATTTTTTTTTCCCCTTCTTAGAAAAAAGAGTGCTTTCAGATCCACTACTCCAAAAGACTGAAGACTCCCACTGCCAGTTAAGACTTACCTTACCTTGACACCACAATTAAAGGGGAAAACATGCCTACCTCAGAATCCGATATCGAGACCCGATTGGACTCTATCGTTGGCCTCCTCATTATATGTGGTGATGGCCCTGTGGCATAAGGACCATAACCTGGAGTGTTGCTAGAAGCCAAATAGCCTCCCGATGATCTCTCCTGAAGAGACAACTTCCTACTCGATAGGACAGGTCTAGTGAGAGGTCTCTTGGGAACATGCCTCCAGTGAGCATCTTCCAGCCGCTGGGAAGGCAGACATTCATTCATCCCCACATCACTGTTGACTCCATTTCTTTGGATATCTTTTATATTATCAGAAAAGACTGCGTCATTTTCTTCAATGCTGCCTTCGCTATTTTGTTTACTTCTGTCTGGGCCAACAGCCACATCTATAGCTGCTACCCGCTCTGCCAGTTCAGTCTGTGTGTCTTTGCAGCACATGTCTATGCCTCTGTCCATGGCATTTGTTGGAGAGTCCCCCATTGCTGAGTCCAGTTCGTGCGGTCTCAGATGGCACTGCAGAGAACTGCAATGCTAGCGCTCACAGACAGCACGCGGCATGAAGGAATCGCTCCATGAAGTACCTAAAAGGGAACACAGAGGGAAACTGAATAATGATGTTGAACACAAGCATAATCAAGAGACCCAGCTCTGGCTCCTTCCAACATAAAAGAAAATGACAGCAAAACACTGGCAGGCTGTAAAAAAGTTGCAATTGCTCAGAAGGAAAGGACAACCCAAGCATCGAGCCAGATCTGAAAGCAATAAAGGGGAGATTTTATCTAATGTGCAACAAGTGACATAGCTAAAGAGAACTTTTCTCCAGTTAGACAAACAGCCAACTAGAGCTTACAATAAAGGGAGAAGTACAGCTTTTTAGGAAGCCAAGGATTAAGCATCAAACTTTTGACCTCTTGAATTCTTATTTTTAGGGTACAAGAGCTTCTGGTCCATACTCAATGTACATAAGAAATCCACAGCCGTTTACTGCTCCACACTGTGAGGCTCCAGTAAGTGTCCCAGCACGCTCTGGAAACCAAGGCATGGCTGGTGACTTCTACACTCCAGTTATCTGCAACAGAGTCAACGGCAAAGGCAGAATTTAAAAGCAAGTTTGTGGTTCCACAGTCTTCCCCTGGCCTCCCATAATTACAGCTTGCATGGACCATGCATTAACCTTGCTGCCCATCATGTATAAAAGCTATATTGAGTTGCAAATCAACAATGCTTAACAGTTACCAGCATGGGAGAATCACCTTTTCCTTCGGAAAAGACCTACAGAACACAAAAATGCAGTACAAAGCTAAAACTGCTAAATAAAATCACTGTTTCCTGGATGCCAATTTCGGTCTCAATTTAAAACAGATTTCAGTCGTCCCAACGCACTCCAGAGCGGGAAGTGATCCTCTGCAGCACGTGGTTGTCAGCCTGTAATCACCTCTAGAGATGCAGTGCTGCAGGATGGATCATCACACCCCTCTGCCCAGTTTCTGAGGAAAACGGGTGACAACTTAGTTTTAGTCATAGCATTCTGGACTAAGTCCAGTTAATTTTAGCGTAGGCTTAACTCTGCAATATTGCACCCTTTGGTTCTCTATATGCAAAGCAGGTTGTGCGCAGAAATCCCTGCAAGCCAGATGACACTCGCATCGCCCTGCTTTCACACTGCCTGCATTTAATTTACATGAGGAAGGGGTGAGGGTGAGCGAGTTTAAACACACACAACCTCCCAGGCGAGAAGCACAGAGCAAAGGTCAAACCTGGCTCAAAGCTGCCTAGCGACGCTCAGTTAAACACACTGCAGCCAAACTCTGCTGCAAAGAGAAATGACCTCCCGAGTCCCCTGCAGAAGTTCAGCACGACACACGCTGGGCC